TATGGAGAGTTCGTAAAGCTTCGCCCGCTCTAGAATGGCCTTGTTCCCCAAAGGCTAAAATAGCAGAGGTTTTATTGGAAATTGTTTTAAAATGTCATGTGGTTCAAATTAAGAGCTCATTTTTATAAGCAAAAAGACCCCTTTGCCAGGAAGTAAAAGTTATGTTCGAATTGAAAATGAGAAACTTAGCCTTGGCCGGTGTGGCGCAGTTGGTTGAGCATGATCCTGTGCACCAAAGGTCTCCGGTTCAATTCCTGGTCAGGGCATACACTGAGGTTGTTGGTTAGATCCCCGGTCAGGGTGCATATGGGAGGCAACCGATTGATGTTTCTCTCTCACATCGATATTTCTCTCTCTCTCTTCCCCTTTCCCCTTTCTGAAATCAATTTAAAATATTTAAAAAATAAATAAATAAAAGCAACCAAGTATAGTTGTGTGTTTTTTTTAAAAAGAGGAAGTTTAAGTCACCTGAACATGCAAAGATTAATTTTAAATGATTTCTATTGAGAGATCATCTCTGAATGAGGATAAGTAAAAAATTAATAAATAGCCTAATATAGTGATTTGTTCTTGAGTTGAGAATTAGCCACCAACACATAATTTTTTTCTTTGTATATATGTAGCTCTGAGTCTTAATTTTGCACAGGTAAAAGTTTTCCAAATCAGGAGTGATCCTGTTCTTCAAGAATATCAAAAATATTATTGAAATACATTTTTTCCTCTTTGTGGTCCACAGTGACCCTTAACATGGGTTTGTACTACATGGGTCAACATATATGTAGTAGTTGTTTTTTTCCAATAAATATACTGTTGGCCCTCTATTTCCCCAGATTTTGCACCTACGAATTCAACCACAAATGGAAAGCATTACTTTTATTATTGTTATTATTAATATTATTATCATTATTGATTTCAGAGAGAAGGGAGAGGGAGAGGGAGAGATAGAAACATCAATGAAGCTTCCTATCAGATATATGATTTGCAAAATTTGCTTATTGTGTGAGTTCCATTTTCTTGACAGTGTTGTCCTTTAAAGCTTAAAAAGTATATAATTTTGATGAAGTTCAATTTACCTATATTTTTCTTTTATTATTTATGCTTTTGGTGTCATTGCCCATTCCAAGATCACAAAGATTTATCTGTTTCTTCTAACAATCTGATAGTTTTAGCTCTTACATTTAGACCTTTAATCCATTTTGAGTTAATTTTTTCCACACTTTATTCTTACCCACTCCTTTTAATTTTTCATACAAAGCCAGAATGATCTTGAAACGTAGATCAGGTTGTGTCATTCCCCTTCTTAAGCCCTTCATCAGCTTCCCATCATATAAAGAATAAAATGCAAATCCTGTGACCTATAAGATGGGCCCCTGTGATCTTTCTGCCCCCTGCCCACCTCACCATTCTCAGCTTCTTTCCCTCTGTTCCTTGTTCACTACAGTCTAGCCCTGCTTGGGGCAAATGTGGGAGGCCACCAATCTATGTGTCTCTCACATGGATGTTTGTCTTCATCCCCTCTCCTTCCCATTCTACTCTCTTTGGAAATCACTGGAAAAAAATGTCCTCAGGTGAGGATTAACCACAACAAAAAAGAAATGATTAGCCAAGTTACTTATCTCAGGAACAGGATTTAAAAAAAAGGAATGCTTCTAGATCAGGAGAAGTTCTGTGGACATTATGGTCATTTATTATGTATCTTTTAAGCCATATTAACCCTTTGTTTTCTAGTACCACTGGGACAAAGTCCTCTCCCTGCAAAGCAGACAGGTTCACAACCATTGAGCTTAGATTAGATCTTAATATTATCTCCTGAAGACAAGCTTAGATTAGCTCTTAATATTTTATCTCCTCAAGACAATTGATAAAGCACTTTGGTTGAATTTTATCCCGAAGTTAAATATTCTTAAATAACCTTCCGGTGTGGGGAGGCTACGTGTTGGCAAAGAACCTTTGTGCTCTTGGGCATAATGCTATGGCTGACTTTCAACAGTGGAATCTAGATATGTTTACATTGAGGCCGGCACTTTCACCAGTTTTGATTTATTATGAGAGAACATTTCGTGACTAGTTTGGGATGAACAAGAGGAAGAATGTCCCTCCTAATTTGTTTTTTTGAAGGCCTAATTCCATTTTGTTAATTCAGTTCATGTATGTTCCTTTTCTGAGACTCAGTAAGCTTCCAAAACAGAATTTCCTTCATTTTACTAAAGTGACTTCCTAAGTGATACTGAGGTGGAAAAACGATGTATATGCTATGCTCTCAGTTATATGTATAAGTGGCACACTTATACATATGCCTTGTTAGTAATATGTTAGAGCTGCCATTAATGAAAATTTCTCTCCTGTAAAATAGAATTGAAATTTAATTTATGCATTTTTCCCGCGTTTAGTCAATTACTTAGATTCATTGAGGGAGGGTTGTGCTTGTTAATGTTCTTATGTTAAATGTAAAAAGCCAGTAAATTTGAAACAATTGGCTCAAAGGTTTGGTTGTGCCTAACTAAGTCAAAACAAAATGAATTGTTAGGATTCATATTGTGGAAATAGCATCCTGGAAGTAAGATAATAGGCAATTCGGGGGCAAAATGAAGGAATACTTAAGCTTATATATTTGGCTGTTGGGGCTTTTAATAGCTGACTACCAATTTTCTTCTGTTTGGGCCAGCAAATTTTAGAAGTTTTGATGAATATCAAGGTTTTCAGAATATTGGGCACTCTAGAAATAAAGAGGAGAGTGTTAAAATGTTTCTGAGCTAGTACACAGCTATTTTTCCCCCTGCCTTTTCCTAAGTTGACCAAATGAACCATTGATAGATCTGTTTGTCAAACTCTCAGAGAGATTAGTGATCTTGTAGCTTATATTTTTAAATATATTTCATTGACTTTTTACAGAGAGGAAGGGAGAAGGATAGAGAGTTAGAAACATCGATGAGAGAGAAACATCGATCAGCTGCCTCCTGCACACCCCCCACTGGGGATGTGCCCGCAACCAAGGTACATGCCCTTGACCGGAATCAAATCTGGGACCCTTTAGTCCGCAGGCTGACGCTCTATCCACTGAGCCAAACCAGTTAGGGCTTGTATTTTTTTTAAATTACCCACATCCTATATAATAAAAGGCGAATATGCAAATTGTCCTCTCAACCGTGAGTTCAACCAGGGGATGTGGCTGGCTGGCCAACCACCTGTGTCCCCTCCCCCTGGCCTGCGCAGCCCGATTGGATCAAGGCGGACCCCACCGGTGCACAAATTTGAGCACCAGGCCTCTAGTGTATTATATTCCACTCTGATTAGACCTCTCCCACATTTAAAGGGGTTTTGAGTAAAGGAAGAAATAGTTTAAATTGCTAGATATTGGTTGACTTTTAATGTGATATTATTTTCTTTTCTTTTCTGGTGATTTGATTTGCCACAAATAGTGGAAGCTCCAAATCATGTACCTGCTTTTGTGTTCTGAAGAGGTAACCAAAGGGCTGTTCATACGACCTCTTCTGCAACCTCACAGTCTCTGGCTAGTGTGGGGTTCCTTACATCTAGTCTCTGGTCAGCTGCTCAATCTTATTATGGGGCCGGAGTGCATGCTGGGTCCCACATTTCCTTAGTTTGTTCTTCCTCTTAGTTTAGGACATTAAGTTGTGCTGAAAGTTCTCAGAGAAGCAGATCTGATATGGAAAAAAATACGTAATAGGGCTTATAGTTGGAGGATATAGTTGTTTGTTTTTTGTGTTTTGTTTTGTTTTTTCTGGGTTCTCTGTTCTGTTCCATTGGTCTATATGTGTGTTCTTGTACCACCACCAGGCAGTGTTCCATTGGTCTATATGTCTGTTCTTGTACCAGCACCAGACAGTTTTTTAAAAAAAATTCTTTATTGTTTAAAATATGTCTCCTTTTTCACCTCATTGACCTCTGCCCGGCCACCCCCACCCTGGAGGATATAGTTTTGACATACAGTTATTTAGCCACTTAAATGCTGGTCATATGAATGCTTACCTCACAGTGTTATTAGGGGATTTAAGTGAAGAAAGGCCTGTGAAAGTACCCAGCTCCATGTCAGCTTATAATTAAAAAGCGGTAACTACCATTATGGAGCACTCTTCGTCCTGCGCAGTGTGCGAGACATGTTGCAAGATATTATCTGATTGAATCCTCTCATTGACCCTGCAGAGTAGGTAATATAACTCCATTCAACACGTGAAGTTCAGAGAGCCGAGTAAAGTGCCCACGGTCATACATCTTCCAAGTGGTGATGTTGTGATTTGAACCAATCCGTGTGATAAGCCTGAGCATGTGAAACTGCTTTTATATGATGAAATGATCACTTAAAATGGTCATTTCATTTGCATTTTTTGAAGACTATAAGATTGAGGAATCCATTTATTTGTTTACCGGTTGTAATGTGTTTGGATATCTTTTGCCTGTTTTATCTTTTGTGATCTTTCCTGATTATCTTAGGAATACGCACAACCTCATCATATGTTCTCTGACCATACTTAAGGCAGCAAGTGACATTCATCTTCCAAACCTACAAAATTTGACACTTGGATATACTTTCATATCTCATTTTTTATAATCTTTTTAGGTTTATTCTATAAAATGTGTGAAAAGACTTTTTACTCGGGGATACTCCCTTATTCTGGGGCTTCTTTTTTTTTGCTTTAGGAGACAGCGTAATGTAGTCTTCACACAAGAGAACTTCTCTGTTGTGTTATGTACAGGTTGACTGGCTTCATCTAACTCTTAGGGAGATAGAGCAGAAGCTCACAAGAAAGAATTACTTCTATTTTACAAAAATGCTGTATGCGGTTAAACATAGAATTATTTTGTTGTTTTTACATTCATTTTCCACTTGATTACTGTGGGAACGAGGAGAAAACTGTTGAGTCCATGAAGCTTAGAATATAATCACCTTTGATTACCACTCTCTTTGAAGCAGTGCGAAAGATGCCAACAGAGCAGTGATGGCGCTGTTGAAAATATATCCACTCTTTCTCTCCTCACAGCAAAGTTCCTGGATTCGTGCGATTGATTGCTCCCGAGGGCTCCTTGGTATTTCACGAGAAAGCCTGGAACGCATATCCCTACTGTAGAACAAGTAAGCCTGGTTCCCAGCAGCCATGCCCCCCAGGAGGACAGCTTTGAGAAGGGGGCCACCAGTCAAGGCCTTTTGTGGGGTCTCGGGTAGTCACGGCACTAACTGGCAGAGGAGAGGTTACATTGGGCTCCCCCCGCCCCCCAGAGCTTTGTGAGGGGCCTGGGCTCATTCCTAGAGGACAGCACCTCGAGGTCCGTGCTGGCTGCACAGGCTCCAGGGGTGAGCAAGTGGAGGAACGGAAGCATACCTGTTTTGTTGCGCTTCGCTGTGTTCAGTGAGGGCAAGGCCCTCCACCAGCTTTGTTGCGGTGGTTTGGAACGGCACCCGCAGTGTCTCTGGGGTATGCCTGTGCAGGAACTGTAAAGAAAGGCCGTCCACACTCACAAGTGTATCCTGGTGTGGTTTTAACAGTATTTTACTTATATGGCCACGGAATAGGTGAGGGATATGACAGCTTCTGAAAAAGTTTTTTGTTGTTTGCTAAATTGGTATTATAAATGATGTTTCTGCTTTTGTGACATTATTCTTTTTACCATTGTTTTAAAATTGGGTTATTGACTCCATAATCTAAAGCATGCTACTCTGTGACTTACTTGTACAGAAACTGTGCTTTGAGGATGTACACTAGTAAATACCTTATTTTCAGGTAGTTTGATCTTGTGACATTAAGTATTGTGACAGATTGTTTTGACTCTGATTAATATTCTGACATGTTTCTCCTTTTATTGCCCACCTGTCCATGACGCTTCAGTTGTAACGGTGAGTAAAACGGTTTTTTGTGGCACAAACTCTTCATCTTTCGACTTTGCTTTACATAGTAATTTATTTGCACCCGTTTTATTAAAACTGCCCATCACTGCATGGTTCCTCCTCTGTGCTTCTTCTAGCAACCTGCACTCCACCACATGCTGCCAGGTTTAATGGGCTCTCTCCAGCCTTAGCTCAAAGTCTCCCTGTTGACTTTATTTTGCTTCTGCTGCTTCCTTCAAAGGCCAGATTTGCTCACCAAATCTCACCGCTTCTTTAACATTAGCCCTGTATGCTGCATGACAAGTAGGGTTGTTTAAATTATTTCAAAGCATGTAGCATTTGGTTTGCCCAACAAGCTTATAAAAATAGATAGCGAACGATTCTTTACCACTTGAGGATCAGACTTGTAGAGTCAAAGGCATGGATGCTTATGTTGGGGAAGGCTCCACAAAGAACTGGTGTGAGATCACTGTCATTTTACTGTTGTGTTTTCTGCAGAATGAATATATGAAAGATGATTTCTTCATTAAAATCGAAACGTGGCACAAACCAGACTTGGGAACCTTAGAAAATGTAAGTTTCACCTCTGGACTTTTCATTGAAATGAGAATACTATAGTCCATTTTGTCATCACCAGAGTGATGACACCTGCATCATACTAGTACCTGGCCACCCCAGGGTGTGTCCGATTACAGGGAGGCAAGCAAACAACTGGAAACAAATGGGTTTTCCTGACCTTTCTCCTTCCCTTGAGTGGACTTGAGTGAGGTTGTTGTTTTTATCAGCAACTCCTTCTCTGCCACAGGGAAAGCACAGTTAAACGAAATTCACAGATAATCCCCAAACCAGTCTTAGGCACTAAATTTCAGATTTCTTTTATCCTTTCATCTCTGTGTATTTGCCAGAGCTGCTCTCCATTGCAAAAATGATGGCTTTAATTTCCATCTCCATTCCACTTTGCTTGGGATATGGGTTGATGTCAGAGAAATGGCCTAGGAAGGAGAAGGTACTTTACATAATTTATAATAATGTTGACGAATTCCGGATTTTTACAAGTTGGTACACATTCATCTCTAAAATAAATGAGGTGATTTGATATTTTTAGTCTATGTATGATTTAATCTGCCTTCAGCTTTCAAATGGCTGTATCTTCTGGCAGTTTTTAAACAATTCTTAATGGGTTCATAGATGGAGTTTCAGAAATAGATTGAACACCATGAAGTATACAGGAGTTAACATCATACTGAAACTGAATCGCTTTAGGATAATCAATGTTAGGAGAGTTTCAGACCATACAGTGCAGCTTTTTGAAATCTTAATTATAATGTCACTTTATGTTTATCTGGAATTTGGAGGTTAAAAGGACTTTGTCATGTATTGTTTGAGTTAAACATGGGTCAGGTACATTTTGTTAACTAAATAATTTCTAAGGACTACCAGAAAATATTGTGGCAGATTTCTGTTAATTTGACAGCATCCCCTCCCCCCTTATTTTGGGGGTTTCAAGGGATAATAAAAGATTTCTAGATCCTTCAAGATTTCAGATGGCTAATTTAATTATGTAGCAATTTAGACTCCACGCCCCCCCCCCCTTATAATGTACTCTGAGAGACTCAAGGTAAAGATTTTATATGTAAGTATAATAGTTTTGCCTAGCAAGAATAGTCTACAATTTGTTTTGTTTAATTTCTCTTTGTAATTTTAGGTACATGGTTTAGATCCAAACACGTGGAAAACTGTTGAAATTGTCCACATAGATATTGCAGATCGAAGTCAAGTTGAACCAGCAGTAAGTACTACTCAGTGACATTTTAACCTGTTGCCACTTACATCTAAGAATTATTTTATTTATTTCTTGTACGGCCTACATTTTTACATCAGAAAGATCAGAGAGAAGGAGAGAAGGTGATTGTTTTTTGTGTGCGGATTTCACCTTTGCACAAGTGATCTCTTTAAGAAATCTCAGTGTACCTGCGATATACAGAGATTTATTTTCATGGGGGGTGGGAGGAAGTGACAGTATTTTACAAAAAATTAAGAAAGCAAAAATTCAATTTACATACAAATTTTCGGTAATTCGGGTTACCCTAACATTGTCATTTGTGAGAAATGGTTGATGGTAGAACATCTCAGTTTACCAGTTGTGTAGCTTTCTATTTTGATTCTTTCTAGATGTAAATATTTGCACTTTAGCCTTTTGACTTAATAAGAACACTTGTTCTCAAGAGTATTAAAACCTTTATTTCACCACCACCCCCTGTAAAGCTCTCCCCTGCAAATTAGGGCCCTGGTATTACTTTGCCACATATGCAATATTAACTCACTACTTATACCATACTGCGTGCTGCTTTGGTATCGCAGTGAACAGCTGTGGACTTTTACATGTTAAGACAACCTTCTTGCTAGTCGAGAGAGAGCTAAAGCTTTGAAATAAGAGCGACACCTCGTTTTGTCATGAAACGCAGCGTGTCAGTTAGCATTTCATTTCATTTTCCGTGCTTCTTCCCTGAACGTGAGCATTGTTATAAGCTGAGCAGAAAGAACTCAACAACTAACTGTCTCACGTTGCTGTTGAAATATAAATGTAAACCTCCTGAAACAAAGACCCCTGTCCTTTTCTCAGAAATCACTGGGGTTCGGACTGCCAGGCTGGGTCCGGTTCAGCTAGGGCCCCTCCCTGATTAGAAGTGGGATCTTCGTCATGGGAGATTTTATGTTTTAGTTGTACTATGACTTGAAGTTATTTCCATTTTAGGGCTATTTCTGCCTTTGAAATGATAGAAGGCTTTTTTTTTTATCCTCAGAAGTAAAATGTGTGTTCTATGGAAAACAGGGTCTGTTTTGCCCTTTATTTCCCTTAGTATCGTTTCCAGCCATGACTTCCTGGTGATAGGAAGAGCAATCATTGGGATGAGTAATGAGTGAGTCAGTTAATGGCCAGGTCAGGACAGCTCACAGGCCTGGAGCAGCAGGTCACTAGATAATACCAAGCAGCAGTATGGCCCTGGGGTTGGGTGGCCCGGGGGAGTCATTCCGGTTGTACTGTCAGTTTGAAAAAGCTGTGCTGGCCAAACAACATGGTCTGACACTGGGGCTCCTAGGTTTGCATTCCATGTTGTTCTTCAGCAGAGCACAGGCAGCTCTGGTTTTGCTGGGGGAATGAGAGCAGTTCTTTGTCCTTGTTCTCAGGCTAAAGTGCGCCCTCAGTCAGTGTTAAAGGCACCCATGGAACTTGTAAGAACAGTGAAGGCGGATTATGAAGAGCCTTAGAGCCCTCAGTCCCATTCCTTCTACCCCAGCTTAACCTTCAGAGAGAAAAGAAGGCAGCGCTGGCCTCACATGCATGACAGCAGCACTTGAGAGGGTGCTTCGGATGGAGGGCGCTGCACATGCAAAGGCTGAGCAGGCAGATAGACACTGAAAGAGAGAATGGATGGGGCCCAACTGGGGAGGGTCTGCACTGTGAGTCCATGGAGCTGTGACTAAGAATATACATTCTGAAACTAGATCGGCTTCAGATTCAAATTCTGAGGTTGTGCTACCTGCTGGCTCTCCCATCTTGGGTGCCTGTTTTAGCTTGTGTAAAATGGGGCTCATCACCTCACAGGACTCAATGTGAATACTTGGAGCAGTGTCTAGTTTAATAACGGCTGGCCATTTTGCCATTATTATTAGCTGCAGGTGCCCAGAAGTTCTGAGAATCTTATGTTCACACCAAGCATTGTCTGGGGAGTGAATAAGTGTTCACATATGTCTGTGTGATTTTGTTTTTCAGTGTCCATACTTCCTATTTTCCAAGTTACATTTTAGAAATTATTAAGATACACTTTTTTAAAAATTGTGTTGGATTCACGGTACCTTTTTTAGGATGATAAAATATACATAACAAAATGTACCATTTTAACCATTTTAAAATGTATAGTTCCGTGGCATTTAGTACATTCACAGTATTGTACAACCATCAGCACCATCCAGTTCTGGAACATTTTCATCATCCCAAATGGACACCCTGGACCCATAAATAGTCACTCTCTCCTTCCCTCTCCCCTCAACTTTCAGCTACCACTAACCTCTTCTCTTTTCTGGATTTACCTGTTCTGGATATTTCATGTCCGTGGAGTCATAACAGTATGTGGCCTTCTCTGTCCGGCTTTTTTTACTGTAGCCTCATGTTTTCAAGGTCCGTCCACGTTGTTGCATGTGCCATGACATTGCTTCATTCCTTTTTGTGGCTGAATAATGGTTTGGTGTGCAGATAGACCACATTTTGTTTACCCATTGATCCGCGGGTGAACATTGGGCTGTTTCCATCTTTGGCTGCTGTGAATAGAGCTGCCGTGAACATTGTGTCACAAGAGCTTCTAGTTTGTGTGTTTTCTTAGTTGTGGACACTAAAAGCACAGTTGATGTCATCTAGGAAATTCGTGGACTTGTTGACAGTAAAATGAGAACCCCACATAAACTTTTCAGCTGTAAAAGGAGAAGGGGACTCTGTGGTGGGAGGCAAAGGTGTCCTTGACAGTTTTAAAGCCTAGGGGTGAGGAGCAGAGCGTTGAGCTACCGTTTGGCACCCGTTCCAGCAAGGAAGTGGGCAGGAGCCTAGTGGGCCGGGGAAGCAGGTCTGCCCTTTTCCGAACATTCCCATTTGTTCACTCTGCTGGCACAAGACAGTCGCCCCGACTCTCCCTTCCAGTTCCACCCGGTCTGCTTGGCCTTGTCTAGTTAATGTTTGTCTTAGGATTAGCCTCTATGGCAAATACCTGGGTCCCCTGGGCATCCTTTCGTTTTACCAGATCTGGTTTGGTTTTCTGTTGAGTTAATTTGTTCATTTGATTCTGCCTCTTTTAAGTTCCTTGAAAATTCTAGTCCAAGCTGTTGGGAAAAAGGAAGCTTCCAGATCATGTTTGCAAATTCTAAAATGGTATTTAGTGGCTGCGCAGTCTGTGCTGCCGGAATAGCCCTGCTGTAGCTATCCACGACAAATATAGCGCCTTCAGGAGGCTCACAATCCCACGACACGAGTCCAGTGCAGTGACATAGTTCACAGATGGCACAGGCTTATGCTTGGTCCAAAGTTCTGCGGGATTTCAGAGAAAAGAACAAATGATCTATGGGTGTGGAAACATATGAAGGTATGTCTGCCATACCAACAGTGATTACTTAGTGCCTAAAAGTTGCTCTTGAAGAATTTAAGTGACACTAGAATTGGGAGCTTTGTAACTGTGAATAGGCCACTATGGTGGAATTTCTGTAGGAAGGTCTTCTGAAGGTGTGGTGACCTCTCAAAGTTCAGATGATGACACCTTAACTCCTGGCGATTTTAGTCTCAGAATGACTTAGTTCATTGATTTTCATTTTGTTTATGATGAACTCTAATTTGTCCTGAATGAGCTAATTTTTCTAAAAACTTCTTAAGCTAATTTTTTCCCTTATTACTTGCTTTAAAAGAAATAAAACCAGGTAATTAGTAATTTTGAGAAGATGAGTAATCAAGTCTCCTTCGAAATCAGGACAAAGGTGAAATAGTTGGGAGGTCAAGAAACCAAGACCGTGGAAGTGAAGCTTGGATCTTTTACCTCCACCTGGTGGGGATTTTCTGTCACTGCAGATGGTTTAATACAAACAGCCCTAAATACTTTAATTCAGAGTGACTGTTGGTTACTTTTAGGGTTTAGCTCTCTGCTGGGTTGCTGGTGTCAGACAGCTTGTATACCACTCTGTCTTAGACTTGCTGGGGGTTTTGGGGTTTTTTTGGTTGTGCTTATGAACTGTACTTCACCATGCACAGAAGGGATATGATTAGCCCGCAGTGTAACTGAATACTTGGGGAGATGCTTTGACATGTTTACATAATTGAATGGGAAACATGATCACAATAACTCTAGGAATAGGATTTATTGTAAAAATCTGTCAGTGTGACCCAGGGTTACAGAGGAATATGCTAGAGAAATCATAGGTATGTAAATATATGATTTATTTGGGGCTTTTTGTTGATGACTTACACTGAGTGGCCAGATTATTATGACCACCTCACGTTTGTAGGCAAATTAGCTATAATTTCACGCTGAAGTTGCGAGAGGGCCAGACCATTATAAATAGGGAAGCAGGTTGTTTACCACGACAGTAGAAGTGATTTTTTTCTGAAGGTATGGGTAAACAACGCGATTCAACAGCCTTTGAACGTGGGATATATATATACTGTAGAAAGTGTGGTATATTAGTATAGCCTCTAGTCTCTGGAGTTTTCTAGAAGATACATCATTGACTAATGAAACAAGCTAAGCAAGCAATCTGGGATTGCTGCATAAATGTTCCTACCCAATTTCTTTTGGCCAACAAACAAAACAGATTCCTTGTTTCAGGGGAAAGACGTGTTGTAGTGAAGTGTTAAGATGCTAATTCCTTTAAGAAGGAAGGCTCCTGCTTGGCATTGAAGCAGCCACAGAGCACACGGTTCCAGCAGGACATACCCTCTCGCTCCCACCCTCTCCCCATTTCAAATCTAACCCGGGTATCACTCCTGAAAAGACTTCCTCGGTAAATTGACTACCCTTTGGGGGCCTGGCCTATCCTGTTCTCATCATCTCTGTGTTGCCAGGACCTAGCAAGATGCTCACTATTGAGCCTGATGTGGAGTGACTTCTCAGTAAAGGCTTGGTGGGTGGATCAAAGAGAATTTGCAGATTTCCCCCCCGCTGTGGTGTTTAAAAAAAAAAAAGTTTAAAGGAATTGAAGTTGTTTTTTTTTTCTTTGGTTCAGATATTAAATGAACAAAATTCTACTTTAGGT